CAACGAACAGATAACGGTGAACGACTTCTTCAGCTCTGCGCGGGATCATCATCTGTTCCTATCTAGCACCAGCTCTCGACGGACGGTAACGTGGCGCTCCAGTTCAACTGGTATGCTAACTCAAATCGACCACATAGCAGTGAGCTACCGTTGGCGTGGCGCAGTGCAAAATTGCAGGTCCACCTACATTGAGTCTGACCACGCAGTAGTTTGGATGCAGTTCACTCTCCGACTGACTTGCCGGCGATGAATTCAGAAAACCCGTATAGCTCATCATCAACTATCTGTTCAAGCAGTTCGTGTGCGCTATGAATCAGAGATAGTAAGTGAACCAAGCGCGCCGCAACCTGATGCCGTAGATGAGCAGTGGAATCAAATGAGGCAAGCAATGCATTCCGCAGCGAATGTTACTTGTGGGTTTGAGCCTCAAGCCCGTCAGAGGCATCGGATAGCTCAGGAGCCAGTAGTCCTGATGGAGAAGAAACGACAAGTCCCGACCTCGTAGCTCAGCTGGTAGAGCATGCGCGTACAAAGCGTAGGCGGTGTCCATGCGTGGGTTCGAATCCCACCGAGGCTACTGAACTTTTCACAATCGACATACAAATCCCGACCTGCCAGGATCAAAACAGAATTATGTAGCATCTACAACGTCAGCTCAAGAAGGACCGTGAGAACTGGTGGGCAACAATAGCTAGTGAAATGGAAGTAGCAGCTGCATTACGGAATAGTCAAAGACTGTTCCGACTAATACGCAATATGGGAGGTCGGCGAACTCCAGTTAGTGAAGCAGTCTGTGATAAGTTGGGACAAGCTATTCACAATGGGGATCAACGACCTGATCGCTGGGCCGAATACTTCAGCGAACAGTTCAACTGACCTGCCGCTAACCAGGTTGCCCAATCCGCAACTTAAGCTCCTCGGGCAGTGTCGTGCAACCCTCCAACGGAAGCAGAAGTTCTTGCATTCAAGCTCCGAAGCGAGAAAAGGCAGAAAGACCGGATGAACTGTTTCCCACTCTTTTTAAGAAGGACAGTGATAACCTCGTAAGCTGTATTACTGTGCGACATTTGGACACAAGAGCGTATTCCTTCATCTTGGGGCGAATCACTGATCGTTCCAATTTTCAAGAAGGAATCCCGCAACAATTGCGAAAACCACCGCGGGATAATTTTGATCCCGATCGTCACGAAATTGCTAGTCTCGGTTATACTTTGATGTCTGGCTCCTTTAAGAGAGATCAACATTCATAAACCGCAAGCCGGATTCCGGCCTGGCCGTAGATGTATTATTCATTTTTTTACGTTACGCCAGTTCCTTGAGTTGCGTCACACCTGCCGCCGACCAACGATTGCAGTGTTCCTTGACTTGAAAGGAGCATTCGACTCAGTTGATCGCGAAGCTCTGATGGGCTTCCTTCTTCGAAAAGGAATCCCTCAGAAGGTCTCTGTACTCGCATACCCCCCTCCCAGTAGAGTAAGGGTCTATGATGAACTAAGTAGGTCCTTTGTCACCAGCAGCGGTGTTCGTCAAGGATGCTCTCTCTCTCGCCGTTCCTATTCAACTTCA